GCCGTTCTGAGGCCATCTTGGAGGCCTCTTGGGCGATCTTGGGGCGATCTTTGAGGGCCTCTCGGGCCGTCGGTAGGCTGAAAAGAAGCAAATGACCCAAATCCTTCCAAAACCTAAGGAACATCACTGATTTTGGCCGCTTCGGGCCTTCCTGGAGGCCCCTCGGGCCGTCATGGGCCATCTTAGCGCCATCTTGTGCCGTCTTGGTGGGCTCCTGGCCCGTCTGACGCCGTCGGAAGCCGTTGTGTGGACATCTCTGGGCCGATTTGGGGCCCTCTTGGGGTGCTCCAGGGCCGTATCGGAGGCTTCCTTGGGCGTCTTAGAGACCTCTTGGGCCGTCTTTGGGCCCTCCTGGGGCCATCTTGGGGTCCTCTTGGGCCGTCCTGAGGCCATCTTGGAGGCCTCTTGGGCGCTCTGGGGGCGATGTTTGGGGCCTCTTGGCCGTCTCGGGCCGTCGGAAGGCCGAACAAGAGCAAATACCAAGATCCTTCAAAAACCGAAGGATTATCAATGATTTGCGCCTCTTCGGGCCCTCCTGGAGGACCTCTCGGAGGCCTCTTGTGCCGTCTTGGAGGCCTCGTGGGCACCTCCTGGGCAATCTTTGGCCGTCTTGTAGGCTTCTTGGGCGGACTTGGAAGTATCTTGGACCCTCTTGGGCCGTCTTGAAGACCATCTTGCCCATCTTGGGGGCATCTTGGAGGCCAGCTTAGGCCATCTTGGAGCCGTCTGTAGCAGGAAAAACCTTGGCAACCGGGTCTTCCGGGACTTCGGGTGGCCGCCGGGACGGGCTGGAGCCCCAGGGGGGAGTTCTTTTTTGGAAAAGAACCCAAACCGAAAGGGTCCATCACGCCGGGCGCCCTTGTTGCAAGCCAACAGGGAGCGGCGGATCGAAGACGCCTAGGGCGAATCACCGCCGCCCCCTGCCTTCTAGAATCGCCCATGTGGCCGAGTGTTGTGGCAAGAGCTCTGCCAAGCTATCGGACCAAGTGTTCACCCAACCGTTGTGGAAACCCTTCGGGGAACACTTGGGGGAGGATGGCGGGGAAGATCAGGAGGATAATGAGGAGGAGGAGGAGGAGGAGGAGGAGGAGGAGGAGGAGGAGGAGGAGGAGGAGGAGGAGGAGGGGGCATCTTGGGAGCCTCTGGGTACACTCTTGGGGCCTCCTGGGAGCTTCCTCGGAGCCTCTTGGGGGCATCTTGGGGGCCTCCCTCGGCCTCTTGGGGACCTTTGGGAGCTTCTCGGGGGCCTCTTTGGACGTCTTGGTGGGCTCCTGGCCCGTCTGACGCCGTCGGAAGCCGTCTTGGGGGCCTCTCTGGGCCGACTTGGGGCCCTCTTGGGGTGCTCCAGGGCCTTGGAGGCTTCCTTGGGCGTCTTAGAGGCCTCTTGGGCCACCTTGGGGCCCTCTTGGGGCTGTCTTGGGGGCCTCTTGGGCCGTTCCGGGGCCATCCTGTGGCCTGCCCCCCGCCATTGTGTGCCAAGCTGCCGGGGCTTCAAGTTTTATTTTTTTCGCCAGTGGCGACAGGCCTGCAGATTTTGCCGATCCCGGCCAAGTCATGCTTGAGGCTGTCGCCCTCTGGTTCCGTGCCGTGTTCTTCAAGCAAGACATATCTGCTGAGTTGGAAAAGAGGTGAGGCAGTAAGGCAAACAGCTTCGTAACATCAATGCTGTTGGCCGCTTGGGGCTCTTTCAGGAAGCCTCTTGAAGCGCTCTTGGGGCCTCTTGGGGCCCTCTTGGGCCGTCTTGGAACCATCTTCGGGCGTCTTGGAGCACGCTTGGCCTCGGCTGTGCGAATACGGCGTAATTTGCAAAGGTTTATTGCTTTGGGGACGCGAGTATTGCGGATTTTGCGAAGGTTTGCTGCTTCGGGGACGCACAGCTTGCATAATTTACAAGGGTTTGTGGCCTCTGGGACGCGAGCATTGCGTACGTTATGGCGGATTATGGCCTTGGGGGCGCGAGTCTCAAGTATTTTTACGTGTCCCACGCCCCCCGGGGAATTCAGAGCACGCGATCCGGACGTGGTAAATTGGGCGGTTTGGGCCCCGCCCCCCTCGCGCGGACTTCAACAATTTAGAGTAGGAGGCAGAAAGGAGGACTGTAATATTGGAGACTTAAGTGGCGCAGGGAGCAGCAGCTTCGTCCTACAGCCTGGTGGCCCCACAAGGGGGCCGGCATTTTTGCATAAGTTTCAGGCTCTTCGGGCCTAGTAGTCTTTTCAAGGTGAACGGGCGGGGCCATAGCACCTGCGCCAGGCGCCTGCGAGCACGAACGATTTGCATTTAGCGAGGGCCCGTGGGCCCAATGAGACACGCTATACGTGGCTTCCCGACCGTAGTTTCACAGTCCATCGGTTGAGCGTCGCAGGCGTTGCGGACCGTTGTCTCCAGCGTTGCGATATTATTTCCGGTGCAGCGCGTGTATGATCCAGGTGCACCAATCATTCAATACTACTTAGATCTACAGCGAGGGCAGCCAGATTGATGATATAAAACAGCGCTTCTTTCGTGCCAGGTGTTTCGTGTGCAGTAGAACTTTGACTGCAATCAGTGATCGAGCCAAGGGGGCACTGGCATGGCTGAGTCTGCAAGTGATCACCGAACATGCTAATGAGCCTGATCGTAAAACAATCTCCCCCTCCTGCTGCTGTTGCTCCCATTCCGTCCTCCTCATCCCAACCTTCCCTCCCTTTTCTTCCTCCCTCCGCCTCCTCGTCCTCTCTCTTGCCCCCTTCTGTACCTTCTTCTCCTCCCTTTACCTCCTACCTCTCCTCCTCCACGTCCATGCCTATCCTACAAGCAGCTCCCCCTCGTCGCACCACTGGACATGTCGGCAGGGCGGTCTGGGCGTTTCGCTTGAGACGTTTGGTACGGTTGAGGAACCAGATCTCTAATACTACAACAGTTGCACGGATGGAGAAGGGTGCGGTTTCAAGATGTGGTTATCGACTTACCATTGCGCACGTTTGTCTGAACAAATCCAGTAGCTACGATGGAGCGCGGCGCTTTTTCTCAATGTGGGCGGTTCTTTTTCATGTGGCTCTCGACGTTTTTTTTGTATTCGTTTTTTGTTTTTGATGTTTTTTCTTATTCTATGTTTATTCTTTTCAATGTTGCGAAGATTGCTTGCGCTATCGCGCAGCCCACGGCGCAACCGTGGCCTCCACCGCGCAACCCACCGCGCAACACACTGCGCAACTGGTGCAGCCCACAGCAGCCTCCACGCATTTTACCGCGCAGCCCGCCGCGCGATCCACCGCGCGGCTGCCCTCGCAGCCCCCCACGCAGCCCGCAGCGCAACCGCGCTGTTCTTGAAAAAGAACACACACAGCATAAGCATACATTTTACTTGGGCCCTTTGCAAGTTTATTTATGCTTATGCCGTTGTTTGATTTTGTCTGTATCTGCTGGCACGACCCACCGCGAGATCCGCTGAGCAGCCCGTCGCTGACGCACCATGCACCGCAGGCGGTCCAGAGGCCACGGCGCAGCCCACGCTCGGGCACTGGGAGAACGCCCACAAGGACAATTCGACTGAGTAGTTCTGCGCTGGTTCACTCGACCTTCGCATGTGATTGTGCCGGTGCAGTCCCCAGCCGCTTTCGCTAATCGACGTGCATTTCGCAGGACACATTCGGATGTTTTCGGACGTCGATTGGCTACCCCGCTTGGGTCCACTCGGAATGCGGGGCCATACGCACATGGAGTCCACCTTGCAGCTTTCACGAAAGGGCGTTTTGCTCAAGAGTATTCTGTTAATTCTCGACGCGCGAGGCGCCGCGGCGGCGCTGGCGGCCTGGTCCACGGTCTGGCGCGTGGGGTGAGCCCGTGCAGGCCGAGCAGCGGCCATTGCTCACGGAGAGGGGTGAAGAGCCTCACCCCACTTCGCGCCTGGGCCCGTGGAGGCGGTGGCTTGAGTGCTTCAAGCTGCGCACCGTGGCGTGCTGGGTGGTGTCCCGGACGCGGGAGAGACGGGGATCCGGGCGTGGTGTCCTGGCTCGCGCTGGTGCGTCCCGAGCGGGTGGATCGCATCTTGGTGTTCCTCATTCCTGAGTCGTCGGCCACCAAGAATCGCACCATCTGGCGTTGAAAAATCACGACGTCGGAGGTCCTTGCCCCCAGAAGTTCTTCAGTCACTCTTTCCGCACCACCATCCTTTTGCCCATCTTGCTCCTTAACCTTGCATGCGCTGACTGCTGTGCTGACTGCTTTTGTCCTGCAGCTACACTTTAGCTCTAGGGAAACGGAAAAAGGAGCGAGCCTGCGGCGCGCGCGTGCGTCGGCCAGCGGGCTGGCCTCCTCCCTTCAGTGTTATTCTAGTGTATGCTTGACGGCATTCTCCCTTCTTCCCCATGTCATCGGCGAAGCCCACTGACCATGATATATCAACGGAACATTTTGCAGGGATTATGGATTTCCAGGCAAAAGACTGGTTATCAGCCGAACCGACGGCACAGCCGTTGGCTTCGCAGAGCATGGCATCACAGGGAGGAACGCTCGGGCGAACAATATCTACACTTCCCCGAGCGTAACGAAGGTGTGGCCGCCTCTACGAGACGACCAAACTCTTCTTGACCTTCCCAGAAGGCAAGCATCAGAGACTGTGTTTGGCTTGACAGAAGGGGATTCCTCGGTTGAGTCGGCGACCAGGTCTAGAGCACAAATCTCAGGCGGAAGGTATGGCACAACCAAAACTTCAGCCGAAGGAGCGTCTGGTTTGGCGTCGGTGCATCTGGGCTCCCATCCGTCGATTGACCTAGATCTCGAGGTGGAGACATTGTTGGATCAAGTCCCCATAGGAATGTCAGGTTCTGAGAATCCCGGCCTAGATCGCGCAGCTCAGTTCGAGTTGCACGGACAGAGTGAGGATGTGAGTGACTTGCAGTCGGAGGCGGACAGTTCGCACTCAATCGAACAAAAAACACGAAGAATATGCCCAATTCCATATCTCGCCCGGTCCATCGCATCATTCCGATCCTCTCCCCGATGGATGTATCGGGCTCGCCTCAGGCGCAGGCCCGTTAGTGAACATGACAGTTGATCATGTCACGGTTGAGGCAATCCACAGGGCCATTGTTGATTGTGGCGATGATCTCGAAGGCGGAGGAAGCCCCGACAGAGGCAGATGCTCGTCGGCACAGCCGATATCGAGCTCTCCCGATGTTGTGCGCACAAAAAGGAACGCGCGATAATCTACAGGCATGACTCCCCATTCGGTGACAAAGAAGCCGAAGGGTGATAAGGAAGACTTACATTCTTCACCTTTATGGCAAGGTTTTCACCGCCCAGACTTCACATTGCCCCGGACTAACAGGGACAGGGTACCAGAACTTGACGAGCTCAATGCAGGACGAAAGAGACGAAACAGCAAAGAGTCGAGACGTTGCTTTTAGTAGCAGGGGTGTGAGAACAAGGGTGCAACGCGCGCCAGCCTCCAGCAGCGCGCGAGGTCTTTCCAGCAGGGTCCCCAGGGCCAGACGTTCCAGGTCTGGGGGGTTCGACGCCCTTGCATCGCCACGATTGTCGTCGAATAGAACCATCAGCAGCTTCTCGACGCGGGAATGTTGCTGGAACGCCGGGCCCACGTGTCCGACTCAGGCGGGGGATCGATGCCCGGGGAAGGCGCGCGCACCAGGGGGTTCATGTTGAAGGCCTGTGTGCTCACAATGTTCGAACGTTTGTCCCAGTGTAGTCTAGCTTGGCTTTGTGTGGAATGCGTTTCGATGGAAGAACACAATTGCCATCGCATCGCCATTCAAGAGCGGGGGGGGGGGGGCGAAGACAGGACCGAGAACAGTTGAGAGCTGCGAGTGCCCAAATACAGCAGATCATCCTTGAGGCGCAGGTAGATGAGAAGGCCGCTGAAGAGGCTAAACGCATGCTTGCAATGCCCGAGGCAGAGAGGCAACCAGTGGCACGACAGGTGGAACGTGAGAGGACTGTCATTGTGGAAGATGCGCAGAATCGGATGCAGCAAGCTGAGGTCAGTGTGGCAGGAGTTGCAGGCGAAGCTCAGCGGCGCCTTGCTCAGGAGGAGAACGAAAGATTGAGAGTCCAGAGTATGGCCGAACGACTGGTGTCAGACTCCCAGCAGAAGGCCCAGAGAGAGAAAGCTGAGTGCAGATAAATCGCGGATGCCGCCGGGAGGCTCGAGGCCGAAAGAGTAAATCGGAAGCTCTGCGAGCCCTTCGAGAACAAGAACAGCAGGCCCTGGTAATCAGACATGAGGACCAGAAGAGAATGGCCGTTGCCTGGGTCGTCTCAGAGGGCACGCAGACGAACAAATAAGAAAACACGTTCTTGCCACCCGGGCCGTGAGCCAGGAAAACAGGAGGGTGAGGTCTGACCTGGAGCAACAACATCGGATTGACAAAGAATCAGGGGATAAAGTTCGGTTATCAGGGCAACCCGCGGCAGAGGTTTTGTCGAGAGTAGGGCCTGCGACGCCGGCTTCGCCGGTGGAAGTGGGCTCCAAGGAAAGTTCGGATCAACGCTGGCACGGCCGATGCGTGTTGAGCCGCCTCCTTATCCGGTTGTTGCTCGCCCCGTTCGCAAACGTGACTATGTGCAAGCTCAGGCGCGAACGGGCAACCCGAGTCAGATCTGTCACCTTTGCAGCGAACCTTCAATCGTGTATGCATGGGTTGCTCAAAAACGCACGTGTAGGGACCACCTGGATATGGGTGCCAAACGGTGCGCTGAGTGTGCCTGGGATAAAGAGTTTGGACAGAAGGATGGTCTCTAGAAAGGGGAAGAGCCGCAAGGCATCCCTGATGCCCACCGCGCCAACGACGATCCTGATGAAAAAGGCACCAAGACACTCGGATCTGCTAAAGGATGTTGGATCAGATTGCAAGGCAAGCAATCTCGCCGATCTCGTGGGCATGCCGGTATTCCAATCAGACAAGTCAGATTTCGATAAAATGCCAATGCTGACCGCTCCGTTTATGCCCGCGCTTCCTCTCGCAAGATCGCATGTCATTTCTGGGCCGGCTATCGAGGGGTCTCTTGGAACGAGTGAAGGTTCAATGCGGGAGTATGTCCAGGGAGTGAATCCTGGGAATGTCCCTACCAAGATTTCAGGGCCCCATGACAACTTTGACTTGCCTGGGCACCTCCCACCTCCCTTTCACCGTTTGCCCAGCCGTGGCCGGCGAGGGAGGTGGAGATCCGGGAGGACACGAAGATG